GGGGTGTGGGAGGTTCCGGGGGCTGCTGTGGGTTTGGGGGTGTCGGGGGTGCTGACCCCGTTGTCCCCAGGGCGGGGGGCTCCGTGTGGGGGGGCGGCTGCTGCGCGTGGACCCCGCCCTGAGCCGGGACCAGGCCCGGGGGCTCCAGGGGGGCTCGGGGGGAGCCCGGCCCCGAGGCGGCACCAGGAACCTGTACCTGGCCCGGGAGGGGGGTGAGTCAGGGGCACGGTGCCCCCAGCCCTGCCTGAGCCCCCATTCCCTGCCTGAGCCCCCCAGCCCTGCCTGACCCCTGTGTCACCCTGGGTGCCCCTGTGTCCCCCTGTGTCCCCCTGTGTCACCCTGGGTGCTCCTGTGTCACCCTGGGTGCCTCTGTGTCACCCTGTGTCCCCCTGGGTTCCTCTGTGTCCCCCTGGATGCCTCTGCGTCCCCCTGTGTCACCCTGGGTGCCCCTGCGTCACTTTATGTCCCCCTGTGTCCCCCTGGGTGCCCCTGGGTGCCTCTGTGTCCCCCTGTGTCACCCTGTGTCACCCTGGGTGCCCCTGGATCTCTTTATATCCCTTCTGTATCCCCCTGGGTGCCTCTGTGTCCCTCTGTGTCACCCTGGGTGCCCCTGTGTCCCTCTGGGGGCCCCTGGGTGCCCCTGGGTCCCTTTATGTTCCCCTGTGTCCCCCTGTGTCCCCCTGGGTGCCTCTGTGTCCCCCTGTGTCCCTCTGGGTCCCTTCATGTCTTCCTGTGTGATCTTGGGTCCCTTTATGTCCCTCTGTGTCCCTCCGTGTCCCCCTTGTGTCCCTTTGTGTCCCTTCTTGTCCCCCCCATGTCCCCCCATGTCCCCCCATGCTCCGTGTCCTCTCTGGCAGTGGAGGCCATTTGGGGGGGATTTGGGGCTGCAGCGGAGTTGGGGTCCCCCCCAGGAGGGGTCTGGGGTGCAGGGGGGTTGGGTGGTCCCGGCTGTGTCCCCTGGGGGATGTTGGGGTTCTCCAGGGAGTGTTGGGGGGTTTTGGGGTGACCCCTGCCCTCCCCAGTGCCGGGTGATGCGGGAGCTGTGGGGGGGTTTTGGGGTGCCCTGGGTGTGGTTTGGGGTGCCCTGGGTGGGTTGGCCTGGGTGGGTTTGGAGTGCCCTGGGTGGGTTTTGGGGTGCCCTGGGTGGGTTTTGGAGTGCCCTGGGTGTTTTGGGGTGGCCTGGGTGGGTTTGGAGTGCCCTGGGTGGGTTTTGGGGTGCCCTGGGTGGGTTTTGGAGTGCCCTGGGTGTTTTGGGGTGGCCTGGGTGGGTTTGGAGTGCCCTGGGTGGGTTTTGGGGTGCCCTGGGTGGGTTTTGGAGTGCCCTGGGTGTTTTGGGGTGGCCTGGGTGGGTTTGGAGTGCCCTGGGTGGGTTTTGGGGTGCCCTGGGTGGGTTTTGGAGTGCCCTGGGTGTTTTGGGGTGGCCTGGGTGGGTTTGGAGTGCCCTGGGTGGGTTTTGGGGTGCCCTGGCTGGGTTTTGGTGTACCCTGGGAAGGTTTTGGGGTGCCCAGGGATGTTTTGGGGTGACCCCTGCCCTCCCCAGTGCCGGGTGGTGTGGGAGCTGTGGGGGGTTTTGGGGTGCCCTGGGTGTGTTTTGGGGTGCCCTGGGTGGGTTTTGGTTACCCTGGGCGGGTTTTGGGGTGTCCTGGCTGGGTTTGGGGTGCCCTGGGTGTGGTTTGGAGTGCCCTGGGTGTGGTTTGGGGTGCCCTGGGCGGGTTTTGGGGTGCACTGGGTGTGGTTTGGTGTGCCCTGGGTGGGTTTTGGCGTACCCTGGGCAGGTTTTGGGGTGCTCAGGGATGTTTTGGGGTGACCCCTGCCCTCCCCAGTGCCAGGTGATGCGGGAGCTGCGGGGCCAGGGCAAATCTTTGGGGTTCGCCTTCGTGGAGTTCGGGGAGCACGAGGAGGCCCTGGCGGCCCTGCGGCGCCTCAACAACAACCCCGAGCTCTTCGGGGCCCACAAGGTCAGTGGGGGCTCCCCAAATCCGGGGCACCCCCTTTCCAGCCCCTGGAGCTGCCCCTGCCATTCCGGGGTGCCCCGGGGGGCTTTGGGGTGCCCCACGGGTTCTGGGCGTTCTCCTGGGCAGTTTGGGGTTCCCCCGGGTGTTTTTGGGGTGCCCCCCGGGTGTTTCTAGGGAGGTCTCTGGGGTCCCCCCTGGATTTCGGGGTGCCCTCGCGGTGTTGGGGTGTCGTGGGGTTTTGGTGAATTTTGGGGTCTCCCGCTGGGTTTTGAGGACTCCCCACTGCTGTGGGGTGCCATGGGGCCCCCCGGGCTGTTGGGGTGCCCCCCACACAGTGTGCTCTTGGTTTTGGGGTGTCCCCTGGGTACTTGAGGGGGTTTCAGGGTTCTCCCCAGTGTCTGGGGGGATTTTGGGGTACCCCCTGATGTTTGGGGTATTTTGGGGGTCCCCCCTGGTTTCTGGGCCCTTTTGGGGTTCCCCCCCGTTTTTTGGGGTATTTTGGGGGTCCCCCCGAGTTTCTGGGGTGTTTTGGGGGTGGTCCCCCACGGTTCCTGGGGGGTTTTGGAGCGCCCCCCGGTTTCAGGGTGCCCCCCCTGGTTTCTGGGCCCTTTTGGGGTTCCCCCCCGTTTTTTGGGGTATTTTGGGGGTCCCCCCAAGTTTCTGGGGTGTTTTGGGGGTGGTCCCCCCCGGTTCCTGGGGGGTTTTGGGGTTCCCCCCGGGTGTTTGGAATATTTTGGGGTGCCCCCCGGTGTTGGGGTATTATGGGAGCCCCCCGCCCCGGTTTCGGGGGTTTTGGGGGGGTTTTGGAGTGCCCCCCGGTTTCAGGGTGCCCCCCCGGTTTGGGGGTGTTTCGGGGGGTCCCCCCCCGGTTTCGGGGTGTTTCGGGGTGCCCCCCCCCGGTTTCGGGGTGCCCCCCCCCGGTTTTGGGGTGTTTCGGGGTGCCCACCGTGCCCCCCCAGCGCCCGATCGTGGAGTTCGCTCTCGAGGACCGGCGGAAGCTGCGGCTGCGGGAGCAGCGCATCCAGCGGGGCCTGGTGCGAGCCCCCGTGCCCCCCGTGCCCCGACCCCTG